CCAGTGAACTGCAGGGTTGTGAAGAGGGTTAGTGAGTTCGACGGCAGTTGGACCCTCTACGATAGCGGGTTAATGGAGGAGGTGTCAAAGGAGGTGAGTCCTATATTTATTCCTCTTGCTGCCCTCTAGAAACGAGTCCTAACACATGCTTAGATGTACGATGCATTCGCCCGCGACGTCCTCGAAGATCGAACCACACGTAAACGACGCATAAAGAAGGTGGGCATTTGGACACTGCAGCTCGCAGCTCAAGCCCTCTTTCTTGGTCTCGCCGGCAACATCGCATAAAGATACCCTGATAGATTGGATGAAGCGGATGAATCTCTTCTTTCTGTAATATAAATGGCAAAGCAAGGCGTTCTGGCGCATATACATACACACGGCTGATGTGGCTGGCTAGCCGAAGTAGATGAATGGATGAAATGGGCAACGAACTTGGGAGCTCTTAGAGCAGCTGCCTACGATGAAATGATAGACACTCTTATTCCCATCTATCAAAAGTTTCCACTCTATATCCATTGTACAAACAGGACTGCTCAGAGCCCCGTGCTGATGTCATGCGCCAGCGTCAGCATCTGAGGATCTATCTTTCAAAGCGTGACGGCCACGATGCCAACTTGTGCCCATTACACTGCTTTCACTTCAAGAGACTTGTAGTGTGAGTGATGCATGGGAATCTTCACCGATGAGATTGCCCTCAATAGCCAGCCCTCGCAGACACGCTCGAACCGAAAGAGCTACTACCAGCCGTTCCCACACCACAGATCTGCAGAATGGGTCGGATGACAGCGGAAGACACGTACTCTGGGGACAAGTGGGACCTCACTCTCTGCGGGTGATAGTGGATCGGTCGATGGACGTTGCGTCCTATGCTCACATCTGCGCGTTGTCAAGAAACCTCAAGAGGCATACCCAGAACGGCAAACGATGCAGCTGCAGGGCGTTTTACGACAATATCGAGGTCAGACGTGTTTTGTGTCGCCTTCCTAAGGCGGCGTACTACTAACCAAATGCCATCGGTAATCTCATCTCGACTCGCTTCGTCGGGTACCACATCTAGAGGCCTAAATTGCTACTACTAGTTTTACGATCCATAGCAACGTCGCTTTGAGCTCGACGTGGAACCAAACTACATACCAGGTCCGCGGCACACGCGTCGGACGAATGTGGTAGCACGAACACGCGCGACGGACCCAACCCCGAATGCCTGAAACCAGGTCAAGGGCCTTGGTCTCTGCGAAGAACGGAATTCGTGTTACAAAAGTAATACAGTACTGCTCCAAGCCCCGCCAGCTCCGAGATGACCATCCGACCCTCCGCGCGCACCTACAGCCAAGCGACGCTCGGGAGATGGCACCATTTCGCGGGCGCTGTCAAGCTCGCCATGCCAACCAACAAGCTTTGACAAAGCCTCCCCATGCTCTGGCTACCGTCTCCCGCGCCCGCCATATTATTGGTGCAGAATCCTACAATGCCGTCGATCCGTTGTCCATGGCTCTGAATAGTTTAGCCTATCCGCGGACATAACGCCGTGTAGGGTGTGGAGATAGGGTGAATACGCTGCATACGGCTGTAGGACCGCCTACCGCTTTGCGCCGTCGCATCATAGGTCTAGGCATGCAGCCCTTTCGCGTGCGGAGGGTCGTAGATTTCTGTGTCCGTGATTGCGACGTAAGCCTTTGTTGCTATTCACTTTAGACGAGGCATCACTTCTTTCCTTTCTCTCAGATCTACTTTCCATATCTGCCTAGAACGCTTTGTGCTGATAGTTTGACTTCCGGACTGTCGATCTACGAACTGTTCGATTTGTATTCCGTTCTTGCGGTTATTCCCAGTCGACTGTCTCAGTAATACCGTATACTCGGTAAGACTTGCTTCTCTTTCCTGGCTGCCAATGTACGCAGTAATCTAACACGAGTACGCCGCATCAGTGCGTACGGCACGGAAGGGGCGAAGATGCGTCACGGTGTCCAATACATGCTAACGACTCCTCCTTCAGTTCACTCCATATTCAACGTCCACAATGGCGACGCCATCGTCATTACCAAACCCCGCGCGGGATGCGCAAGATCTGCCTAACGGACCTACCAAAGAAGCATACGAACAAGGCCATGATGCAGACAGCAGACTACCTGAGGATTCATTCTCCAAAGACCCAGAGAAGGGCATCGACAGCCACGCCCATTCAACGCACACAGACGAGCGAACAATGTCTAGCATCGCCCAACCAGAACAAGAACGGGACGCCAACATCGTCGACTGGGACGGGCCAAATGATCCCGCCAACCCTCAAAACTGGACGGCGAAAAAGAAATGGGGTATCATCTCCGCACTGGGTGCCTGTACCCTCATCACTCCCCTCGCATCCTCCTTCTTCGCACCCGGCGTCCCCCAGGTCCTTCGTGCCTTCAACGAAACCTCCAACATAATGGCCTCGTTCGTCGTCTCAGTGTACATCTTGGGGTTCGCCATTGGACCTCTGATCATCGCGCCCATGTCTGAACTCTACGGACGCATGCATCTGTACAACATCTGCAACGCACTCTTCGTTGTCTTCAACATCGCCTGCGCGTTGTCCAATTCCATGGGCATGTTAGTGGGCTTCCGTTTTCTAGCGGGGTGTGCCGGAGCCGCGCCCTTGACTATCGGAGGCGGCACAATCGCCGACATGTTTCCTCCTGAACAAAGAGCTGGTGCAATGGCCGTGTGGGCCGTCGGACCACTTCTAGGCCCTGTCATCGGACCTGTATGCGGAGGTTTCCTCGTGGAGAACCAATCCTGGCGCTGGGTCTTCTGGATCCTCGCCATCTTCGGCGGCGTCTTCGGCGTCATGCTCTTTTTCGTTGGCCGCGAGTCCTACCATCCTACTCTTCTCGCTCGCAAGACAAAGGCCCTTCGGAAAGAAACTGGGAACGAGAATCTGAGATCGAAACTTGCTCAGGATCTGCCGCCGAGGGAGATTTTCATTCGTGCTATTGTGCGTCCGATGAAGATGCTCTTCCTTTCTCCCATTGTCGGTCTCATGTCCCTCTACGTCGCTGTCAATTACGGTATCCTGTATCTGTTCTTCACGACCGTCACGTTTGTTTTTGAGGGCCAATACCACTTTTCCTCCGGCGCAGTCGGACTATCCTACATCGGTGTTGGTGTAGGCATGTTCATTGGTATGGTAGCCCTCGGTATCCTATCCGACAAGATCATCGTCAAGCAAAAAGCCAAAGGAAACGTCAAGCCTGAACACCGCCTTCCTCTTATCCTTACCCTACCCGGTGCCATTGGACTCCCCGTCGGTGTCTTCGTATACGGATGGACGACATACTACAAAGTCCACTGGATCGTCCCCATCATCTTTACCTCGTTCATCGGTCTGGGTAATCTGACGGCTATGATGACTATTCAAACCTACCTCGTCGATGCGTTTACTGTCCACGCTGCGTCTGCTATCGCAGCGAATACTGTTCTCCGCTCCATGTTCGGTGCCTTTCTGCCGCTCGCTGGATTAAACATGTATGATGCTTTGGGGTTGGGGTGGGGAAATTCTCTACTTGGGTTCATCTCGGTGGCGTTTATCCCGGTGCCGATTCTATTCAAGTACTATGGTGAGAGGATCAGGACGAACCCGAAGTTTCAGGTGCAGCTTTAGGGTAGTGGGCTCAGCCAATATAGACAATTCTCACAGCATTGCGCGGCGTTGATCATGCGGTAGAACAATACAGTTTGGAATGTCTCCTGTTTGAAACATATCACAGGGACCTCCTATATTTTGCCTGCTGCCTCATATTATCCATACTGCAGTGTGTAACTGACTTGTTGTTTGGGGTCTCAGAGCTTTGCGCTGCTGGTTCGCGAACCCCAACGTGTAGCGTGGGGAACACAACTGCAACTGCTTCATCACCGACCCTCCTGCCTGCCCTCAAAGTGACCTCAGCACCTGCCTTCCCTCTCTCTTACCGAGAACAACGCACATAATGGTGCGGAAATCCCGGTCAGGCTGCTTCATCATCGGTCGTATTGAATGTCGCGTGTATTATCCCAACAATTGGCCTTCCTCTCATCAAGCGCGCACCCTCTCGACCTCGGGAAGTCGAACACCAAAACGCAAGGTGCGAAGTTGGAAGCTCGATTCCTCCTGCTCTCGAAGTAAGCCAATGTCTTTTCTTTATCTCAACAAGTCTGAGATGAAAGAAACTTTCATGGTTAGCTGATTGCACAATGCAGTCCGATAGTTGACCCGTCGGGGAGCTACGTGTGGTGCTAACACCAACACACAAATGTGGCCCTCTGAGACCCCCTTCAAATTTAGCGTTCATACAAAAAAAAACAAGGTGTGAAGGATGACTGACCTGTTCTGTAGGAGTTGCGAAGTTCTTTTTTTCTCTAGGATGTTGCCTTTTATATCGCCTTAGCTTACGTAGGGCGCGGTGGCTGTGATCACTATCCCTTGGTTCGTATCCACTAGAAGACTCGATATCCGCAGCGGTGAGCCAGTCATAGCTTCCGTAATCTAAAACCTGGCGACCTCATCCAACAATTTGAGGTACCGAGCTCAGTACCGAGGATAAGATGACACATATATTTGTGTACGTAATAAAGGGCGGCAAACACTTTGATGTCTTTGTTCATTGCTTTAGACGCGGCTGTAATGCTTGTGTAGTTATCCGCGGACTACAGCAAATACCTCATGGGCCAGTTGAGATGCAATTTTGTTGTTCAAGATGTGGAACTGACGTTGGATAGAGCTACTACGTTATGAATTCTGGAAGAAAGCATAAGAGGAATTGTTCGAGAATAAGCAAAATAGAGAGATGATTGAGCACTGCCTTCGCCACACAAGTAAGTGGCCATGGCGCCTCTATTTAGCCTAACTACATATCCATCTAAAAGACCTTAGCAATTGTTGAAAGTGCAAAAAGGTCTAGCTATACTCCAAAAATCGTGCAGAGTATATGTCCCGCCACCAGGCCCACCGCCTTACGACTAACAATCATCCCCATGTTCATCTAGCCAAGACACTGGACTGCGACATCGCCTCCTTCTACGGGAATCCAGATATCGTACTGGTTGCCGTTCTCGTCCGCGACAACGTAGTGATCGAAGTGCGGCAAGAAGACCATAAAGGCCTCCTGTGAAGTACTGCACGACTTGCTTGGATCAAACTCAATCGTCCGGGTGTACTCCTGACTGAATTCCATAGATACGTCGATACCAACGGATGCAGTGAAGATGTCAAAGAAGCCGACGCTTAATTCGGCACTCACGCCGACGCTGGTGGAAAAGCCTTCTGTAGTCGACCACTCGGTGGATACGCCGGGTGAGGTGATGCCGCTCATCCGGTTGCTGACGCCGGGTTGAGTAACGGACTTGGACAGACCGAGGACAAGCACTTCTTCTTGCTATTGTCGGATCGTGTTAGAGAAAGGCAGGAGAATTGGTAAACAGGGGCAAGGATGGACAGGACACTCACTCTCTTCTGGATAGTAGGCTCGGATTGACGCTGGATGGTTTCGTTCCTCACCGTCTCCCAGAAAACCTCCATCTCCTCTATCGTCTTCGAGTCAACTCTTAGTTGCGGCTTAGCAGAGCGGGTCGTGGTGCGAATGGAGCTGCGTCTAGCGAAACTTGCTGGGACGGCGCCGGCTTCGACGTATTGGTTTGAACCTGCCTCTATTTGAGCAGGGCCTGGGGCCCGACCGCCAGACCCTTGAGGCTCACACCACTGCTTGATCAAGCGATAGTATGTCGGGCCGCTGATGACATTCAAGTACGAGTCCTGCCCATCGCCGCGGGTGTTGCATACAGCGATGACGCAGTTTGCGTCCTGTCCGTCCGAAAACGTCGGATCAGAGAAGATGTTGCAGGCCCCATCTCTAATTGGACGGCCACCATTGTAAGGGCTTTCCGTCCAGTCAATGTTAGCTATGATTCTGTCGCCTAAAACTCGATTAGTTGAGAGTCGTGTAACGCCAGGCGGTTACTTACAAGAATCATAATTTGGCTCCGTGTATGAGTCGCATTCGTAGACCAGCTGCGCTTGTACGCTGGATACGCCAATGACGGTCAAAAGAGTAGCGAGTTTGGCAAGCATATTGGAAAGTGTAATCCAGTCTGTTGAACTGATGGGAAGATAGTGCTTGCCTTGAGTGAAGCAATGCTGATGAGGATACTGAAAAGAAATCTGAGAGACTTGAGGGCTTTAAATACATATTCTCGTAGCATGGCCTTCATCTAATTCCCGTCCATTATCATGCCTATGATGCGCTAACCTGCAGATTCTATTGGGAAATCCTTCGTGGTGTTCGCTTCCGTTCTCAATAGCCCTTCACGATGCCCATACCATTTGCCACATGTCGCCTAGGTGCTGGCTAAAAGCGTTTGGTTCGTGTAATAGCGGTCGTTCATGGTTGCTTCTGGATGTTGATTCGGTGCAAAGACGAGTGAATGTGTAAGGCCAAACGCCAAGATATATAGTAAGTTACGCCCTGCCAAGTCGGAACGGGACACCCGTTATAGTCGCTTTTAGTGTGTATGCGATGTGAACAAGTTCGCGTCCTTCACATCCTTCGCATCCTTAATGACGATTTAGCTGTCCTCTAGCTTCTTAGCCGCATGGGAACCGTGCCGGACCGCCCGCAGCACCGAACCTGTGCACCAAATGCACGCCATCTCCATGAGCCGTTGGAGCCTCAAGTGACAATAAGATTCTTCATCAGGATCGATGTCAGCGAAGAAAAGGGCGCGCCGTTGATGTCTACGACCGCGTCTAGCAACATGAACATAAGAATCCGATTCTCGCGGTCAACATTGCTGTCCTGCGGCTTAAGTGGTTAGAAGTAAACGTCTTCCACTCCGACTGAAAGCCGCGGAGCTTTTGACAGCAGCAATCGGGAGAACGGCAATGATCCTTCTGAACTCTCCACCAATATTGCAAGGATGATGGTTTAGTGTGGTGCTGTTGGAATAAGTGGATAGAAGTTCCTGGATACTGTTCCCGAGGACATGAATGCAGAAAGCAATTATGGTGTGGCATTCGTAAAGGTGGGCCTATTGGCCCACTGCATTCATCTGCTGTATCATAGCCTGCTGGTTAACAAACCTGCAGTTGCATGCGTCGCAATCAGTATCAAAGGACATGTTGACTTGGTTTTTGCGGCTTCGTTGGATGCATACATCTGTGAGATGGCATGCACAAACCGACGCAATACTAGCGATTGAATAGGCCCTTTGATGAGATGACTTGGGACGTGACTTTGCGAAAACGTGAACATTATATTCTAGATAGGCTTCTGACATCTCTCTCTTCCCCGCTCTCACACGAATTACGGTACTTATTGTGCCTTCTCTTCACTCTTCTTCTTCCCACTTAGCATGCCCTTGATCTTACTAACACCCTTGCCCAGGCCTCCAAAGACAGCCCCGAAACCAAAGCTCCACCCCTTGATTCTGATGCTCCAAACGAAGAAGTAAACAAGCGCCCAGTTGCTAATGCAAAAGGCAAGGAAGATACCGAAGTTGCGCCATTTGTCGCTTGCTTTGATGTGGATAGTAGCAAGGTAGTCGTTACCCACGGAGTATGGGCAGTATTGGCAACCAGTCGTGGCGTCGGGATTGAGGAGGTATCCTGGAGAAGCTGAAGCAAAAGCGCCGGCATAGGAGGAACAGGTCTGGCCTGGTGGTGCGTCGAAGATGGCGGTCTCGCTCTCCTGACATTCAACCGGTATACCGTTCAAAGTAGCAGCGAGAACACCGCCAATCCAGTACGTTGAAGGGTTTATCCAGAACATCCAATACTTCCAGAAGACGGGCATCATGTCGTACGGCCGTACAACACCATTGAACAGACCAAACATGACGAAGAAGAAAGGCAAAACATTCGAAATGACCGTAAAGCTCGGCGCAAACGCACAAATCCACTGACCCCAGCTGGAAATGAACAGGAAGAACAGCATCGTCATCAAGAAGACGTATCCCGACGTTGAGCTGTCAGTGGGTAGTCCAGTAGGGAAGTACCACAGAATCCAATACAACACACTCGACACAATGGCAATGGGAATCTCAGCCACCACCTGCGCAGTGGTGAAAGCGACCCAGCCGTAAATGCGAGATGGAAGTTCGCGAGCTTGCCATAGTGCCATGTTTTGGTAGAATTTGGGTACGACGGCGTTGACGATGGTGGGGGGGATGAGAATGATGAGGAACGCGGTGAACATGCGGTTTTGCAGGTCGCCGATGGAGTTGCCGAGTTGCCAGAACGTGAAGCCGTTGAATATACCGATGATCACTGCGACGAAGAGCTTGCCGTAGAGGTACGACGGATCACGCCAGTACTGGATGAAGGTGCGCTTGGTAAGCATGGTGGTCTGCTCCCAGACACTGGCCGCGAACTCGGATTCCTCTTCTGCTCCTCCTTGGTTCTGGTTGGAGACTGTCTTGCTGCGGTCGGCCTTGATGCGATCGATTTCCTGGAGCATCTGCTTGTTATTGTCGGAATTGAGCCATTCTTCATTCCAGTTGATTTTACTGCCGTCTTTGCGCTTGACAGGTTTCGCTGCAGTCTCCAGAATGAACTCTGCCACGTTTTTACTAGGCGGACACTGTACGCCACGGTCTCCAAAGTACTTGATGACGTCGGTTCCGTTCTCGCCTACGGGACCGAAGTAGAACGTGTTGCCACCGGGATTGAGGGCGAGAATCATGTCGAATTGCTGAATCAAGACACTGCTGGGCTGGTGAATGGTGCAGACAATAGCCTGGCCTGCCTGAGCGAGCTTCTTGAGGAACTGAACGATGGAGTACGCCGAGTTGCTGTCGAGACCACTCGTCGGCTCGTCAAGGAACAGTAGCAGCGAAGGCTTCGCAGCGAGTTCGACACCGATCGTGAGGCGCTTCTTTTGCTCAACTCCAAGGCTGGAAACAAGCGCATCCTGAATGTCCTGTAGTTCGAGCAGGTCGATAATCTTATTGACGTAGTCAAGCTTCTCCTTCCTAGGTGTTTTCTTATCCTGGCGCAGGATGGCGGAGAACTCGAGAGCTTCGCGGATTGTAGCAGTACCGTCGTGGAGATCCATCTGCTCGCAGAACCCAGTTCCTCGTTGGAAAGCCTTGCCGAGATCCTTGCCATCCACCAGGAACTCACCCGAGACAACACCGGTAGATTGTCGTTGCGATAGTGTGTTGAGTAAGGTGGACTTACCGGCACCAGAGGCACCGACAAGGGCGATCATAACACCAGGCTTTGCGTATCCGTTGACCTTGTTCAGAAGCTTGCGCTCACCTCCCTGATATGGGACAGTGTATTCGACATCCTTCCAGGTAAAGACGCTTTCGCTGCTCGAAATCGAGTCCAGCGCCTCCTCCTCTTGGTGAGCAGCGGTGTCTGAGCTCGCGATAGACTCGCCAGCGACCACCTTTTCCTCATCAAGAGGAGCCTCTTCCTTAACAGCTTGCTTGGCTCGCTTGTTCTTGGCGAAGACCAGTGCACCGCCACCTGACTGCGCGAAGGATACCGTTTCGGTTGCGATCACCGTTACCAAAAGATATAGCACCGTGAAGGCTATCACGACACCGAAGTTGCGCCAGAGGTTCGACCTCGAGTAGTTGAAGGACACCTGGAGGTAGTCTGAGCCGGGCACGGTCCTCGAATTCGGCGGTGCACCAGTCAGACTACAACCCTGATAGGCGGGATCGACACCTGGTCCTTGTGGTACCAGTTGGCCGGGAGCGCACTCCATGATACGATCGGAAAATTCGTTTGCGAGCACCGATTCGAAAGAGTAAGCAACCGGATTGATCCAGTATATCCATCCAAACCAGATATAGTCCGTCAGAAGCTGTGGCTTCGGGATGACGTAACCCGTGTAGATAATCAGGAGGTTGAGTGCGATACCGGCAAACCGAACAGCGTCATCGATGGTAGGCGAGAGAGCAGCGAACATTCGGTAGAGACTTGTAACACAAAAGGTCGTGATGTAGATGAACAGGAAGTAGATGAAGAACTTGGACACGTCCACGTCCAGACCGGTCATGAAGTACATGATGATGGCTGAAATTGTTAGCAAACTTCTTCAGGCGCATGCATCCCATATGGGCTTCGGGAAGAAATGACTTACAGAACGGGATGACCTGTGCCAGTAGCAGCGGGAAGTCTTGCACCACACGCGCAATGGCGACAGCACTAGGGCGATAGAAGGCATAGTCCTCATGTCTCTTCACAACATTGCGACCAGAGACCGCCTTCATCAGCTCCGAAAGCTGGAGCCACCCGAGGAAGAGAATGGAGAAGAAACCAGAGCCGCCTCGTGAGAAAGCACCAGAGGTGTCGAGAGCTTGACCGTAGAATAGGGAACCGACAATGAGACCGTTGGAGATGATGATGACTTGACCAAGACGTTAGTAGATTATCGCGAGATGGTAAAAGCGACGAGTAAGCAAGGAGGTCCTTGCACCAGTTTCAAAAGACGTTTGAAATCTGGAAAGGTGACAAATACCTCTCCCTCATCGCGTTGGCGCAACTTACAGAACTTGGTATACAGCGTAGTCTGGTCACCCCATGTGAGCCAGAACTCGCGTTGAGTGCAAGCCAATACTTGGCGGATGAAAGAGACCGTGTATGGACTCTTCTTGCGGACCGTCTTACTCTTACTTTCCCGTACGGCACCCTCGAACTCCTTGGCGTCTACATAGCCGCTGTTCTCTAGCTCAGTTTCGTATTCAGAGATCTCTCTCAAAACCTTCTTGTAAGCCTCACTCTCCCTGAAAGCTTTCTCAAGCTCCTCCGACGTCTTCGGTGCTTTGTCTTCAAAACCTTCACGAAACTGACGTTCAGTAGGATCAGTAACCGCCGTCAAAAAGTCGGCCGTCGTCTGGCGTTCCGGGCACTTGAACCCCAAGTCCTGGAAGTACTGCTTCGCCTCGCCTGCCGGCCCCTGGTAGATGCAGCGTCCAGCATCAATAACCATGACCTTGTCCATGACCTCGTAGATCTGTTCACC